CCCGGAGGAAGTATAGGGCAAATCGGACGCCGGAAAAGTAGACCCCCGGAACAATGGGAGTACCGAGTACCGAGTACCGTCGCAGCGGAGGGTCCGTACGCCGCATTGCTGACCCGGGGCCGAGGGGCCATGCAAGGCTCATGCAGCTGAGCGAGTCGAGTCTCGGACAGGTGGCGAAATGCGCAGAACACGTGGCTCTGACGGGGGATCACCACGTTCTCGGACCGTATATAGATAGGCCTCGCACGAGCCCAAGCCGAAGGGGAGGAAAGACCGAGAGATCGACTCAGGGCAGCAGCGAACAACATACTGCAAAGAATCTAGTCTTCGTTACACATCATTCAACATGTCGATCGGAGCCGAAATTGAATCGCTGGTTCCTGCTCCGCCGGGCCTCAACGGCATCGCTGCGGGCTATCCAGCCAAGACGCAGAAGGAGTTAACCAACGGAGACTTTGATGCGCAGGATAGTCTTTCTCTTGCACGACTCACACCGTACGATGTCTTGACGGCTGCACTTCCGCTGCCGGCGCCGGCTTCGAGCACGGGGTTCTGGTGGCGGGAGACAGGCCCTGTTATGAGCAAGCTTCTGGCCAAGGCGAATTACCCTCTTTATACTCATTACAAGTACCTTATGTTATACCATACCCATATTCTCCCATTGTTGGGACCTCGACCGCCGCTCGAGAACTCGACGCACGCGTCGCCGAGTAATGCGCCGTGGAGGTCCTTCCTGACAGACGACTTTACTCCGCTCGAGCCGAGCTGGAACGTGAATGGGAACTCGGAAGCACAGAGCACGATCCGTCTTGGTATTGAGCCTGTAGGCTTTGAAGCCGGGACCGCGGCGGACCCATTCAACCAAGCTGCCGTGACGCAGTTCATGCACTCATACGAGGCAACCGAAGTCGGCGCCACGCTGACGCTGTTCGAGCACTTCCGCAACGACATGTTTGTCGGCCCGGAATCTTACGCTGCGTTAAGATCGAAGATACCAGAAGGCGAGCATACCACACAGAGTTTCCTGGCGTTCGACCTGGACGCGGGTCGTGTCACCACAAAGGCGTACTTTTTCCCGATTCTCATGTCGCTGATAACCGGACAGACCACAACAAAGGTGGTTTCTGACTCCATTCTGCGTCTAGCGCTGAAGAGTGAGGTGTGGGGTGTGCAGACCATCGCCGCGATGTCGGTCATGGAGGCGTGGATGGGTAGCTACGGTGGCGCGGCAAAGGCGGAGATGATCAGCGTCGATTGCGTGAACGAGGCAGACTCCCGGATCAAGATATACGTGCGGATGCCACATACATCCTTGCGGAAGGTAAAAGAGGCATACTGCCTAGGTGGGCGGTTGACAGACGAGAACACAAAGGAGGGCCTGAAGCTGCTGGACGAGCTGTGGAGGACGGTCTTCGGGGTCGACGACGAGGACGCGGAGCTTCCACAGAATAGTCATCGCACGGCAGGCACAATATTCAATTTCGAGCTGCGGCCAGGGAAATGGTTCCCCGAGCCCAAGGTATACCTGCCCGTCCGACACTACTGTGAAAGTGATGTGCAGATTGCTAGTCGGCTGCAAACGTTCTTTGGAAAGCTCGGGTGGCACAACATGGAGAGAGATTATTGCAAGCATCTAGAAGATTTGTTGTAAGTCGTCCAGTTTCTTCGACATGGATCTGTGTCGGCGCTGACCTTTTTAGTCCCCATCATCCACTGTCCTCGTCAACGGGCGCACATACCTATCTCTCATTTTCGTATAAGAAGCAGAAAGGGGTCTATATGACCATGTATTATAATCTCCGGGTATACAGCACCTAAGCACTGATCAAGTTCATTCGAGAAAGTTATGACGGTTTTTCAAATTGTTATCAAGTGGTATCATGTCATCTTACGGAGTCGTTTTCTTTCACATACTAGAAATGAGATACTAGAAGCCAGAGCATAAGCCTTTATGACAAGTGCCAACCTTCCACAGAGCATGAGGTAGACGTGTAGAAAACGTGTATAGCTCACGAAAGATGTAATTCTCAATAGGAGCCAGGATCTGTGGGGTCAAAGTTCCAAAATCCCTAACCAAAACATCAGCGGAGAGCGTCTCATCAAGGCGTTGGATTCACTTACCCAGTCAAACGCCAAGGTGGGATCCTGCATGTCCAAACTTCCTACCTCCGACAGATCAGGCAACGGGGTTGCCATTGCGGATTCTCCCGATACTGATGAATTTGGCGCAATTGTCTGAGGCGGGACAGTAGTTGAGGAGCCTATTCCGGGAATCGCTGCATTTGGAGGAAATATAGACTGGAATGGTGACAAAGGGAAGGTAGACGGCGCATTTTTGGCAAGACAGTTCGAGATGATACGATTGATCACATTCCACATTGGCGTGACTTCACGTCCTCTCGTATCCATCGTCCTTTTCAAGACACCCAATGCGCGAGACCGGAGCGAACGGTGGTTTGCCGCTTGGAATTCTGGTGTTTCAAGCTCCGATACGATGTGCATAATGGATTGGAAACAGGCGTGACCACCTATATGCCACTGGAACTTCTGGGCATCTTTGTCATCTGACATCATGTTCAGGCTCTCTACGAGGCTGACTGACTTTGCCAATACTCTAAACACATTCATTAGCTTTGGCTCCGGACACGAAAAGACGTTCTCTGCTCCAATGATAGCACCAAACGTACGTTTGTCGGATTTCAGGGGACACTACGGCCTCCCGGTATTGTTTTGGGGTTCGCAGCCAGAAAATAGACCAGCATCGCCATTCAATTACCGCGGCAAGACCAAGGGCCATGCGCTGGTGCGGAATTTGGGGATCGCAGTATTGCAGGTATTGAGTTTGGAGATGATTGACCATTTCATCCACCATGGTTCGAACCTCGACAAACAAAGACTGAAGCTCTGCGATTGGATATAGGTTACCATTTCCGTTGACAACCGAAGACTTGATTCTCCGCTCCAGCCTATAAGTGCTCCGAACGATTCTTCTGAAGCAGTGGATGCCATTCAGGCGAATCAAATGGCCTGTCATGTCGGTAAATCCAGGAGGTGAGTATGTTTCCGCAGTTGGATGCGCTCCTTCAATGAGATCTTCGTCGTTGATGTTCCGTGGTAGCATCGTAGTGTAGTCCTCGTCTGCTATTGTGGGCTCCTGGCCCCTACCTTCTGCAGAACGAAAGTCGAGATGACATATCTGATGCCACAGCCTGCGACGAGTCTCGACCTGGACAACATCCATATTACTTGACGGGAATAAGGAGGGTTCTCTATGAAGACCTTGCGAGAGAGCCATTCTCACAACAAGCCCAAGAAGAGTCCACGTCCTTGACATGTCATCTTCCCGGGATTGGCAAGTCTAGCGGGTTGGTCAGTAAATCAAACATACATTGAACAGTTAGAACAGGGACGCCTTCGTACCAGAAGTAGGACAAATGCCTGTAGAACCTCAATACTTGGGGTCGTTAGGAAATCTTCTCGCCCTAACCCAAGTTCCACCCCTCTTTGAAACTGAGCCAGGAGGGCCTCTTTCTCCGCAGCAAATCGCATCATAACATTTTCAGCCGACAAACTGTTGATAGCTGAGTAGAATATAGCCAGCGCCAGAGGCTCGAAGGCATGGATGGTGTGATCAGGTCGGGACGCTTCGGCCTCTTCTACACACGGACTTTGAGTCCTCGTGCCGTATGTATGGTTAATATACTGGGTGAATCGTCGTTGCAGCGTAGGTTTGTGGACCAGTCTCGTCATCGGATCAACATTGGAATAGAATATTTCAAGCAATGCCAAGCAATCCTCTGCCGACTTGGGAGACCAAGGCGTAAGGCTATCCACGGTCGAGCCCGAAAACGGGAATGGAGGGGTTGGCTGGTCTGACGGTGGACTATCAGCCGGCGCACCACTAGATTGATCTCCCAGCAGCATTTTGACATCGTGAATCTAGTATTATCAGCGCTGGATACATAAAATCACATCGGCAGAGAGATTGTACCTCATCAGCTAAGAGAGCATAGTGCAGAGACGAAACCCAGCGGGATTGGCCTCCTTCGGCCTCCAGGAGTAAGGCACCATCATAACCATCAGCTGACAAAGTTTCGCATCTCGGGTTTGGCAATGCACTTCCCCCCTGGTCAACGTCAGAGGGGCTTCCTGTACTAGTTACTTTCGCATCAGGCGATTTCGAGATGTTACCCCCACCGGATATTGCTCGCTCCAGTAGTTGTTCCAGCCGTTCGAGGCGACTACGGATCTCCTCTTGGCCAGACCGAAGGTTGGTCCGCGACACTCGACTGCTGGTCCCCACACGGGAGGGTGCCTGTGAGACTGGCTGTGGACTGACATACGTACAAACACGACCGCCTCTCTGGCATGGAGTACAGACAGGTTGCGCATGATCGCACTTGACCTTCCGACGGCGGCATGTCAGGCACGCGGTGATGATGCGCTGCCGGCCCTTCTGTATGCCACCAGAAGGGCCCGACTGAGGACTGCTAACCGAGAGCCGTGAGGATGAAGTTGTCGAGTCCATCAGATGGGGTGACGGCCTTGGAATGATGGATGTGTTCCAGGAAGGTGACAACAAAGGTGACAAAAGCAAGGTGACGAGGTAAAACTATACCGAAGCAATACGGTTGGAGGCAGAAAGTCTAACCGCTTGGGGCTAGTAGGTCCCTGCTTACTAATGATGGCTGCCCCTGCAGAACGCCATTCACAGAGTATCTAAATATTATAGACTAAAATGCTCGAAGAGAATTGTGAAGTATGCGAAGTACATTGCGAAGTGAGAACTTGTAAGATGTTTTACTTTCCTTACATTTCATGGTTGTAGCGGGGTGACCCACTTGATATGCTTTTGTGACCCATTATCAATTTATGCCTTAGGCAGGGAATAATACTATCCTGAGGCACCCGCATCATGCCACTATCCCCAATTCCCTTTCTACCTACTACCTAGTAACCTACTGAGTACATATCGATTTCCAACCAACTCAGATCGATCCTCAAAGTTTTACAATTCCTTGCACCACACCAAGCGGGTCCCATTTTAGCTTGAGATTCCGGAGCCTCTCCAGCCGCTCACCCTCGCCAAAAACGCTAGTGGCGGTATCGTCTTCAAAGGGCATGTTGACATAGCCCACTCCCATTGCGCGTGTTCCGTCTTGCTGTGTTAAGAATGCCTCTCGAATGGCCTTGTTGAGTCCAACACATGCATCGTCCAGTGCAGGGTCGTCATACCAAGCCAGAGGCATGACCCAATACTTCACTTCTCGCCGGAACTCACCAGGGATAGACGTCTCTTGTCCATCCTGGTCTAGCTCCCGCGCAACGTCCATGCTGTAAAATTCGGTCAGGATGTGAGTCTGGGCCGCCTCGGGGTGTTGAGTAATGAAGTCCATGTAGACGTTGAGGGCGGCCATGCAGGATCCCGCTGACAAGTTTTTCAAGCCAAACGCTGCCAGGTTCTTTCTGCCCCCATAGCCGCAGATACGGTCGCTGGAGTCATTGAGGTTAGGGTACTGAATACGGCGGCCAACAAAGTTTAAAGGATGATCTGTCATAGACGGGAGATCCAATAGAGGCTGGAATTTGCTGGCGGCCTCTTCGTGTGATCCCATATACCACATTTGGAGAAGAACAATAGGCTAATTCTCAAAGTCAGCCAGTGGATTCCAGTAAAGGGTTCTTGACAGACTTACCTGCTTGTTTGGGGCACAGAATACCAGCCGCCCCTGCATACCTCCCTGATAATGGACCTTGTTCACTGCCTCTGCAACCAATCCTGCATCATTAGGCGCAAAGACCAGACAGCTGTGCCATGTGTCATGGGTCCACGGGTAGGCTCGGAATGTAGCCTCAACCACCACTCCGAACAAATGGCCGCTACCGCGAAGACCCCAGAAGAGATCGGAGTTGACTTCGGGCGATGCCTCGACTGCGCGAGCTACTCCGCTCTGGTCCACCACAACGACCCGCATTGAGAGCACGGTGTCTGCGGCGTATCCAACGTGCCCAAGAAAGCGCCCTATCCCTCCTCCAAGGGCAGCACCGATCTGTCCCTCATTATTAGGTTGCTTAGCTGGATGGGAGAAGTCATTTCCCTTACCAGGCCCACTTCGTTACACGTTCCGGTAGCGACAGCCATTCCTACTGAACTAGCTGCCTTCACCCCGTCGCCCATAGTAGCGCCTCCTTGTGCAACAACAACCTGTCTCTCCACTTCAACGGTGACCTTTCTCATACGCGAGAGATCGATGATAATCCCAGGACTGTCGATTGTCGAGAAGCCATTGCTGTGGCCACCTCCTCGAACCACGAAAGGCCTCTGGTTCTGCACCGCATAGGAAACCTGAGGACACATGTCAGTCTAGACAGATTCAGAAGGGGACGGGGGACCCTTACCGCTGCAATGACGTCTTCCTCGCTAGTAACTTGAACGACTGCTGCAGGAATCTTGCCCAGATACCCTGTCCAACGCTTGATTGCATCCGGCCACGCCTCATCGCCGTCAACAATTACATTGGAGCCGGAAAGGCAGTTCAACAGGTCTGATTTGAGATTGCTCGCCATTGTTACGCTGACAAAATCTACAATGGGGGGGGTGTAGGCCCATTCTAATCTGTATTCGCCATCTGATAAATGAATGGTGTTCTAGCTTCGGCTTACTTGGCTTCGGCGCAGTGCTTTTGTGCTTACGCTGTTTACCCGCCGACGGCCCCAACACACGCCGGGGGCCGTATTTCTAATAAACCGTGATCGTTCGTCGGACTATGTCTAAAAGAGAAAAGCTCGCTAAATGAGGATTTGGCAGGAGGAGCTGGCTATTGGTGTGATGCTAACGAGAGTCTTTTTCAGCTATCAAGCGTCCATCTAGTGCAGGTATATGTTCACTTGTTCATACATAACGAATTTCAAGACTCCCTTGGCTCCAGTTTCAAATCAACATCATACAATGCGACCCAGCTGGTTTTGTCAACCTTGAAGTCTCCTTCGACAGCTTGCATCGGCATGAGAGAAACTCTATACTTGCTGAACATGTGATAGACCACAGCCTTGATGATCTTATCGGCAATATGCTGTCCGAGACACTTTCTCGGCCCGTAGCCAAAAGTCGCGAGATTATACCGGAGCTATAAAACCAATGAGCTTCAAGTAGACTCCTTAGGGCAGTTCGAGATTCTCACCTGACTTTGTTTGATACCCGCAAACCGGCTGGGCCGATATGCACGGTTGTCAGGGCCCCAGAAGGGATTACGTATGTTGATCGCGAAAGCATCCACAATAATGGTCGTATCTTTAGGTATCACGAAGTTTCCCAGGATCTTCTCTCTTGGTGGATTCTCAGGGAACGTAAATGCTTTGACTGCGTCAGCCAGATATTCTTTCAAGCCTTGAGCGGTCTAGTAGTGACCGAGACTTACTTAGCACAGGCCGAAGGCGAAGCGATTCCAACAAGCAGTAATGGAGAAGCGTGTCCTTTCGAGTGATATAATCTTCTCGATCTGCCTTATTTTTCTCCATCTCCTGAATTAGGTCATTTTGGACCTCGGGGGAATCGGCTAGAAGAATAATGCATGACGAGATAACATGGGTGACGATGTCCAGGTTAGCGAAGGTGGATTCCGCAATCGTGTCAGTCACCTAGATATGCTGTTAAAAGGGGTCTCCATATCGTTTCAGTCAAGGGGCCAGCCACCTACCTCATTTGGCGTCAGTTCACCCCTTTCAGCTGCCTCTGTGAGGACCACAATTGGCGTATCAGGAGCTGTCATCTTCCTCGCCGTGTATATCTCCCTATTGAAATCCAGCCACGCCTTCTGGTAGTCTCTCGCATTGTTCCAAGCCTTGGTATTGAGATACCTAGTCAGCTTAGAGCGATGAATGCCTCCAGACACAACCGCCGCGAAGACCTCCGAATACCGACGCCCAAGATCCCACAGCCGCTCCTGCTCTCCCTCACTCATCTTCCCATAGAACATGGACGCGACCTCGAAGAACGGATATCGCTGCAGTGCCTGCGTGGCATTAATGATGATCCCCTTGCCATCTGCGTTCTGCATCTGCCCGTCGGCTTTTGCAAACCGGTGTATCCCCGCAACGTAGTCTTGAGCACCAGCGTCGAGGCTATCACGGAAATACCGCAAGGCAGTCCGGTGCGAGAACATCGGGTCCAGAGTCTTTCGTAAAGTCGTCCAGCGAGTCCCGTTAATCAGCCCCAGGCCCGACCCAAGCAGCTGGGTCAAGAGCCAGCCGGCATTTGCCTGGGGCGCCTTGTTATGGTCGGTCGACTGCTGGTATAGCACCTCGACGTCTTTAGGGTCCGTTATCACACTATGCGTATACAACCCGTGTTAGCATATCTGCAGACCGCGGTCATGTTGAAGGAATAGAAACGGGTATGCGTACACCTCGGGGATACTAGCAGCCCAGATGCGATACGTTTTGCCATATTTCTCCTCCCACTCCCAGCTCCTCGTCCGCGCCGCCAGGAACTTGTCTACCATCTGTCCATTGGGGAATGTGTACGCCGGACCCGACATGTACTTCTTCCCATTTGCAGCTGGAATCCGATGAACAAGAGACAAGTAGCCCTATGTCAGGTATCAGAAACCACCGTTCAACCACTAGACGGTATACTCACATTAAGAATCGTATCAATCACCACTTTTGGTCCGATCAAAACAGCCACCAAGACCACTATCGAGGCCAAAACCCCAATACTAAACGGGGTGACCGGCACAGCCAAAAAGTCCAATTTGGTAGGTTGAGCGGAATCCATGTTTTGCTTACTTGACAATCTACCGAGTTCAGTTCCACATGGTCCCTTTGCCATCGCATATTCTGCATATTTGTAGTCGTGGTCCGACTCGGGTTCATTGCGCTTGTTCGGGGCATAAAGCGTCGGCCGTCGGCGGGAAACGAGGTCTCTTAAGAGTTAGGGCTGCCGGCTGACGGGCCAGATTATGCGCAGCTAGGTTGATTTCGGCCTGGCCAGGAAGGTTGAAGGGATTGAATATTACTATTTTAGTTCTGATTGGGTCTATCCTGTTTAGGACTGTGGTGAGATCTAATCAGCATGGTTATACGTCTTCTGAGTTGTCATGGGAGAAGCACTACAATGAGGGCTTTAGGCCTGGATTTACGGGCTGGAAATCCCTTATGAATAGCTTTATGCCTTTAAATAGAAGTTGAGGTGCAGCTTAGAGTGATATATCTTCTGTCAGCTAACGGTGTCTAGATGGTTATTTTTAGCTAGTAGAAATGATAGCAGTTGGAGGGATACAGTAAGGACAATGGGAACGTAGAACCTTGTTTACTCTCAGTGAGTATCAGCGTGATGAAAACCTGATAGCAGTTGAATAATCCAGGCTCATAATAACTACGCTAAAATAGTGTCTAGATGACCATTCTAGCATAGCAGGAACTATAGCGTACTCATAGTAGATTACTTTCATCTTCTATACTTGTCGTGAATCAGGCAGAAATAACTAATGATAGGCTGGTGACTGGTGGGCCTGAATTGTAGGGCTGAGAATCCTGGAAATGTCCACACTTTGGGCTCTTGGCTTGTTCTGATCGTCCCTATCGACATCATCACAATGACGCGCACTGAAAGAGAGAATCCATCAGAAATTCATCCAATTCCTTCTCTGTTACATCAAACCGGGAATATTTGCGAGAAAATCCACCAGAGGCATTAATTGATCAACTAGTTGGATAACTATCTTCTTGAGCAACCAAGTTCTACTATGACCGCATGCGGAACGACTGTCGGGAGTCAACCCATCATGGACCCATCGTCCCTTGCTGCCTCCATACTTGGCTTGGCTACATGTGACTGTGCGACATGAATTGATATTCTTTCCTTTCTCTATTTTCTTCGTTCTCCCCTCAGTCACTACTTGTTCCCCCTTCAAAGGTATGCCATCATGAGCGGACAGGCTGCGAGTTACTATAATCCCAGCCAGTCGTATGGCGACCCCCAACCGGGGATACAAAATCACCAGCAACAGCCTCATTACTACAACAATAATGTGGCCAATAATGGGTACGACCCAAACTATCAATGCGGACCTGAGCCCAAGCCTCCAACGGAGCCACCACCAACGTACAATCAGGCCGTCTACGGGTTTGACGACGCATTCAAGATCGAGAGACCCAAGTACCACGATATCTGGGCCGGTCTACTCGTAAGTGACTGCACACTCAGTTGACGACGCATTGATTGACTGGCGTCTAGTTCATCGCCGTCTTCCTGGGATATGTCGCGGTCTCTGGCGTAACCATCCATCGATACGCCAAATACAAAGGCTTCAACGGTGATGGCATTTACGACTCGTCCAACAGCTTTTCTCTCGACACGAATACGCTTGTTCTGTTCATTTTCGTGCTCTGTGTGGCGCTCGCTTTTTCGTACGCGTACTTTCTCGGGGCGCGCTACTTCTCGAAGTTGTTCATCTGGGTTACTGGGATTCTCAATATCGTGTTTGCACTGGCGACTGGCATCTACTATATCGCGCGGAAACAGTACGGCGGGGGCATCGTGTTCCTCCTCTTTGGCGTCTTTGCGATCGTCTGCTTCATCAGCTGGATCCCGCGTATCCCGTTCAGCGCATTCATGCTCCAGACTTCCATTGACGTGTCTCGGAAGTACGGCCATATGTTTATCGTGAGCACGATTGGCGGTCTCGTGGCTGTGGCATTTGCTGCGTGGTTTTCAGTAACCCTGGTCTCGATATATGTGGCATATGAGCCGAGCAGCTCCGGCACTAACCCCTCCTGCAGCGACGGCGGATGTAGCAGGGCCCGAGTCATCGGGCTAGTCGTATACGTCACGTTCGCCATGTACTGGTTCAGCGAGTGGTTGAAGAATACGATTCATACCACCATCGCGGGTGTCTACGGGTCCTGGTACTTCTGGAGCCAGTCGCCGAATGGCATGCCCAGGGGACCAACGCGGGGCGCGTTCAGGCGCGCAACCACATACTCGTTCGGCAGCGTCAGTTTCGGAAGTTTGATCATCGCGATTATCAATATGCTGCGGCAGGCGTGCTCCGTTGCGCAGCGGAACGAGGCTGCAGAGGGGAGCATTGTGGGGAGTATCATGTTTTGGATTCTCGGATGCTTCATCGCCGTCCTCGACTGGCTTGTCACGCTGTTCAACCGCTACGCTTTCTGTCACATCGCCCTGTACGGGAAGGCATATATCCCCGCGGCCAAGGATACGTGGACCATGATGCGAGACCGCGGCATCGACGCACTCGTCAACGATTGTCTCATCGGGCCTGTGATCACCATGGGCTCAGTGTTTGTGTCGTACGTCTGCGCCTTGCTGGCGTATCTGTATCTGCAATTCACCAAGCCGAGCTACAACGCCGATGGAAACTTCACGGCTGTCATCATGGCCTTCGCCTTCGTCATCGGCCTGCAGATCTGTCAAATCTTCATGACTCCCGTCAGCAGCGGGATCGAAACCATCTTCGTGGCCATGGGCTGGGACCCGCAGGTCATGATCCGCGATCACCCGGATCTGTACTATCGGATGGTACAGGTATATCCTCGCGTGCAGCAGGCGATCCAGCCGTCTGCCTAGTCCTACGTAATAATAGCCATGCAGTTTGCATCTGTATTTAATTCATTTCATACCATGTCGTCTACCAAAATAACTATCTAATCGAGGCTCATTTTCCCTCGTTCAACTCGCAAACACACGCCATGAACCTAAGTAGCCAAGACCAATCACATAAAGAACGCCATTAACGCAGTCAACCCAAGCACAACCACCGAACTCGGCACAAGCACCCCCACCGCCGCGCCCCCATCAAACGTCATTGCCGCAGGCGAGGGGGAAGGCGACGCCGACGGCACCATGAAATACGAATCCATCGACTTGTGATGACTGGGATACCCGCTCCGCTGCGCATCAACACCTGTGGGCGCAGGCACCGAGACGTACATAGATGCAGGCGCATGGACATGCGCATGCGCATGCGATCTAACCAATGTACTCGATGCCGATACTGATGATGATGGAATGGGAATCGCGGCCTGGTGAAGGTGCGCCGGTTGGCTCGACAAGGATGCAACAGGAACCACAGCCTGATGAACATGCGCATGTGCTGATGACGAAGTTGGCTTTGGAATCGCGCTCTCATGAAGGTGCATGTGCGTCGACGATGAAGAACCGGGGACCCCGGTCTGATAAACATGCGCATGCGCTGATGATGAAGACGACACGGGTATCATGTCCTGATGAACATGCACATGCGCTGATGAAGAAGTTGCCACGGGGATTGCGCTGTGGTGAGCGTGCGCGTGCGCCGACGACGAAGATGCAGCAGGTACCATGGCCTGGTGAAGGTGCGCCGGTCGACTCGACGAAGATGAAACAGGAATCGTGGTCTGAGGAACGTGCGCATGCGTCGACGACGAAGAAACGGGGACCATGGCCTGGTGAAGGTGCGCCGGTCGACTCGGCGAAGATGCAGCAGGAATTGCTGTCTGGTGAACATACATGTGTGATGACGACAAAGACGAGACAGGGACCATAGCCTGATGAAGATGCGCGTGCGCTGTCGATGACGATACAGCAGGGACCACGGTCTGGTGAAGCTGCACGTGCGTTGACGACGGAGACGACACCGGAACCACAGTCTGGTAAACGCGCGTATGCACCGACGACGAAGACAAAACAGGAACCGCGCTCTGGTGAACATACGCCGGTCGACTCGACATCCTGCCCGTCGCAGCCGCTACGGTCGACGACGAACAGTCGCACGATGTATGCGTGAGGACCTCCGTGATGACCCTGAACCCCTGCTCGTTGCCGTCCTCGTAGTCGCTGTCTTCGTCAAGGGCGGACGGGGCGTCAGTGACGAGTGCGCGGTTGGCAGAGGCCGAGGAGGAGGCGGAAGGGGAGAGACCTGGAGCGTACGCCCTCTTGCTCTGGACGTTGGGGCTGTGTTTAGCTGTGTTTGAGGACCCGGTCTCACTCTCCGGAGCGGCAACACGCATGTTGGGGTGGCTGAGGCGGTGGGGATGGGAGATGCGATATCCATATCTGTCTCTGTCATCGTCGTTGCCATCGTCATCGTCGTAAGCGAAGGCATGGTGGCAGTTATGGTGGTAGCCATGGTCCCGATCATACACATCGTCATCATCCCAATGGCCGTCGCCGTCGCAGATGAACCTGTGTATAGACTCCGTTGCTTCATCACGTCAGTCCTCATCCGTTGTCTAGTGGCGAGGAAAGGGACTTTGAACATACGGATTCCAAATCCCTCGCACACATCTCTTGCTGCACTGCTTATTTTGCTCGGATCGAATGGCTGCGCGCAGAAGCAGTAAAACTTGGAGGGTGAGGTGCAGGTTGGGTAATCCGCATCCTGGGCTACAGCAGCCTGACGGGATGAGTGTTAGCAAGCTGGCCTATTCTGAAAGATACAAGTGAAGACGAGCGATGCTTACTGCGCACTTCATGTGGTCCCTCCATGTATGCTTGTAGGCTGTAGCTGTGGCAGCTAGGCCTGTTAGGGCCAGGAGGGTGGTGGGTGTGGTGTGAACCATGTTGGCTCCAGTATTTTGTTCTAGGCACTTAATTGAGATGTTCCAAGATACAGAGGCAGAGCTGATGCAGGGTTGAGCATCGAAGCCTTAATATAGCCGTCCTCACGGTATACAAGCCTACCTGCAGTAGACGCGAAACGCATCCATCCCTTGACAACTCTATTCCGACGGAGAATTTTCTAACATACTTATCCATTCTGCGATACCGCTCTGATACATATCTAGTGCCGTGGAATGGAATGGACGTGTAGTCTGCTCTGTTGCGTGGGTGCATGATTTGCATTCTTGGGTGGCGTGGAATGTCTGCCCTCTGCCTCTGCCACGTACTGGCCTACTACTTATACGGCTGGGATGTACATGCACATGTACAGTTGTGGCAATGATATGGTCCGATAGCTCGGTGTGGCAGGTGTTGAAACTGGGATGCGTCGCAGAGGATGGTATGCAGACCACCATCTGCTATGCATATCGCAATTACTCCATATACAGATACTTGTCGAGAATGAAGTAAGTGACGATCCATTGACATCAACAAATTTAGATAATATTCCTGTAAAGCTTGAAATCATGCGCATAATCAATCCATATGTCGGGAAACACAAGGGTACTAGGGTATCAACAGCAACAGCATCAATCATGGCATAGACTAAAACTTCTCACTCGTCACACACCGAGTAACGCTCACTAACAACCAAGCCACAATCTTCACCAACACTGTAAGCGTCTTCACAATCATATTCAAGCCAAAGAACAGAAGCCGGAGGATACCCCTCGTCGGACCGGGCAGCTTCTGTCCTTCCCTGGATGAACTAGACCCGTACCGTCCGTACTTTTCCAGATCGAACTGCTCGATCACGATCTGTTTGTTTTTGCTCTTTGGTTTTTCAGGCTTTGAGCGTCCCCATGACCAGAAGGACCGCTTGTCGTTGCTGTTGCTGTCGGTGGGAGTGTCTGACTTGAACTTGGACGATTTGATCTTGGACATCAGCCGGTCGCTCTCCTCGGCGTCTTCGCGTTCTGCGAGTGTGGCTACTAAATTGCCTGTGAACATGCCCCCGCTGGCAGGATTGGAGAGGGAAGAAAAGTGATGCGATTCCTGCTTGGGGTCATACAAGGCCATATCCGCCAGGACAGGATTGGTCGTCTCATCTGAAGCAGCCACGGCCAGCATGGCTGCTACGAGGGAGTCGATTGCATACAATGACGGGATGGTACTGATTATGGCCGTCGCAGAAATAGCCAGCGTCATTGTACCTAGGTCAAGTGACGCCAGCGGCTCGTCCGAGTCGGTCAACGGAAGGGTGGACGTGCGTGGTGTGGCCGCCTGGGTGGCGGCCTCCAACGCATTGGGGGATAGAGGCGTCGTCACGATGATCGTTGGGGGCTGACGGGATTTGAAGTCGCTCGATGGAGTCGAGACGGAGATGTGGAGGATCCCCGCGTACTTCGACCGCACTGGAGAAAGGGGAATACCCGCTGCGCCGAACCCAGCTGCGCCGACGAGGGCGGGCGGCTGCTGTTTGCAGTGCGATGGGTGCTGGAGCTCGTACAGGCGCTTCTCGTTATTCCAGAGAAGCCTGCAGGACTCTTGTGCAGCTGCTCGCTTCAGCGCGTTGCCTTCCACTTCACTCGCTTCGGTTGATGAAAGGTGATGTTGCTTTGCTACTTCCTCTGCTTCGCTGATAGCAAGCATTGCAGCCAGTCGGGAGAACAACAGCGTGACCAGTCCGTCGTTGGGCGGCAGCCGACGCTTCCGGTCCTCCAGCTTCAGCATCATCACGGAGACACTGCTGTGAGATTTCATCGGGTGTGCTCTGGCGATAGACAGCTCATCCGTCGAGAAAGTCTGCATTGTGTAAAACGGAGACTGCGGGTCTCCGAATGTGAACGTTGCATGATCAGTCCTGTGCCCATCAGCTTAGCCGAATAGTACCCTAACAGAATCCTCACCTATGCATACGCAGATTGAATGTCCCCATAAGATTCTGCGGCCTTTGTCCATTGGCAACCTCCCAAAGTCCCTTCAGCTCCGCTGCAGAGGAGTAGTGTACCTCAAGCGGCTCGAGCATATCCGTAGGAAAGTTCAATACGCTCGCAGGGACCGTTTTGGGCCCTAGCGTGCGGTCAATTTCCGGCTCTGGCGTCAGAGTCAGCCCTCGAGGATTGAGGCGTGGCCGAGGCGTACTGCCCGAGGATTGAGGGTAGTACTGCTGTTGGCTAAGTGGGAAATTCGGATCGTAACGAGGGAATATCGATTTCATAGGAACCACCGGAGGCTCAGAGGGTTGCGGAGACTTTTGACGAGAGCCTACCTGGACTCGTGGTAATGAAGGCTTGGTCTTCGGTGTTGGCGAGCGTTCTCTTTCTGCGGTCCCGATCCGTGGAGTAGCATCATACAGCGATTGAGACTCGGGTTCACGTATTGTCTCCGGTATCGACAGTGGTGCTTCTCGGGCTATATGTGCCTTTGGAGGTGGCTGAACCTTCTTTGTGTCCTCTATAATCTGCAAAAGCACTGCTTCTGTCTGCGAGCCCTTGAGGTCCTCCAAAGGTATTGGACTCGATGGCTGCGGCTTTGCAGCCGGTTTTTTGATTCCTTTGCGGAAAGGATTCTTTGAGCCTCCACCTACAGGGGAAGGTGGAGGAAATAACTGAAACTGACTCATTTCTCAATAGCAAAATCGAAATCGAGGCTCAGTCAAGCCAGAGGGATAAACCGCAGGCCGCAGGTATGGAAACAGAAGCAGCAGACACGGATCAATTTTTGAATGCTTGTTCCGCGCTGTACACAGGCAAAACCGTCAATGTCAGCGCAGAAACGATATCAGACGATCCTCTGATTCAAAAGACCCAAATCAGAATGGAAAACGGCATTGAACCGACTTGCAGGGAGAGCAAGAGCGGACCAACATTGACATATACCCCTCGCTCCAGACTTTCCAGGTCGGGTAAACGCCATAAAATCCATCATGCAAAGCGTCAAGGGTCTGAAATGTGAGAGGCTCTGGCTAGTGTGAAGAACTGAATTATCCTGCAGATATCTTGGTGGTTGTGATGTCGGCGGTTAGAGTGTCAGCTCACCGGCGGGGTGATTGGCTGAGTGCCTGGAGTGACTGTTGTCGCAGCGCTTCGACACAAAGATAATTGGCTTGGCGATGTCGGTGAGATGCGAAGATCTGGTGTCCTATTGGTCTCGTTCTCGCGTGGTCTTGAAGAGAATGGAGAATTGAAAGCAGTTCGACTACTCAGAAAGGCTATCCCGGTCAGCTGTGTGCTGATTGTCGTGATTGGTTAGCTGCCTTGTAAATGATCGCTGAAGAACCATTCAGGTGATAGAAATACACTCAGTTGCTAGTCATCATGATGGCTGTGCAAGCCCAGGGAGGGTGGCAGAACTAGAAGCTTCAGTGTCGATTACAATCCGGGGTGCTTAGCTGGTGAATCTGCACCCCAAGCGTCATCAAGTTCACATTGCCTATTGCTTCTGCAGAAACAAGCAAGGTTTGAATTGACGCCGTCCAGATACACGCATGCTCACAGGTCTATCAAATATATTTACAAGTCATGATAATGTACATACTAATGGTCGCCCTCGGCCGAATCATGCACTGTATGTGTGAGTGCCTCGGCCATTGCGATTGCCCCCTCCATATTCCCCTTGTTATACAGAAACAAGCCCTGCAGAGCAGCCGCACTTGTACTTCTCGACCGATCGGCTTTGAAGCCTTTCTCGTCTTCTATGAGGCCTAACTCCTGTAGCCGGTCGAGGAATGCTTGCCTATAAGATCCGGTTGTGTCGAGGTCACCATAGAACCTATCCCATAAACAGCGGACTTGGTAGCGAGTGACTTCGCCTAGACGGACGGTCATGTCAACCCGACCGGGCCGAACCAAGGCTTCATCGAGTCGCTCGACATGATTTGTTGTGAGGAAAATAATACGCTCCTCAGCACTCGCAACACCATCCAAGGCATTTAGCAGGCCTGAAAAGGTCACATTGGCGCCCCGGTACCCGTCCGTATCAGTTTGACGCCGATTCGAGAAAGCAGCATCCACATCCTCCAATAGGACGAGGGTCCGGTTCGGCACAATAGTGAGCAGGTGATTCAATCGATCGTCAGTCAGCCCCCGCTCACTCAGATTCAAGATGGCAATGTCATAGTCCAACTCTCCCGCTAATGCCTGGATGAACGAGCTCTTTCCCGTACCAGGTGGCCCATAGAGCAGATAGCCGCGTCTGTAGGGTATTCCCCGGTCATGGTACCACTTTGCGCTAGAAACAAAGTCCTTCACATCTTCCACAATCCGCTCCTTGACACCTTCGTCAAGAATCACCGAGTCCAATGGGCGCTTTCTCCGCGGTTGTCCGAATAGTCTCCATTCCGTGCCCCAACTGTTATAGATAGACGTTTTGCCTTCGTGTGACTTGGCTGCATATGCATGAGCCTCTTTGAACAGATCTTCGAAAATGTGCCGATGTGAGTAGAGTGTTGTCAATGTGATCGTCTCCCATGGCCGCCCCGTCTGTAAATCTTGCGACTTGGACTCCCGCATCCGATTGACGAAAATGAACGCATTCTTGTAACGTAAAACGTGCCTTCCCGGTCCAGGAACCAGTGCAAAGTGAGTATGTATAGCGCCATTCGCATGTTCGACCTTTTGCGTCTGTATCGACAGGTGGCGCATTCCCGGTGTCAGTTTCTGGAGGATAGTTTCCATGAAGCCAGACCTGCTGGCTGCGGAGCGAGCGGCGTTAAGTTGGGATTGTTGATAGAGAGTCATCCAGTGGAGAAACCATGGATAAGAATCGTCCTTGATACTGATTTCGACATCCACGAGCATACGACGCCGAAGCAGGGCGGCACCATGTCGAACGCCTTTCTGAGCTAAGCTCAATCCTGCTCCAAGACCAGCGAGACCGAATCCCTGCACTCATGACCTGCTCGTCAGTTTTCCGTGATCTCTTTTATCGCATTCACAATCCCAAGGCTGTAGATCTTACCGCTGTGAAGAAAGGGTTACTGGAGAGCTGAGAGAAAAGGCCGCCATCGCCGGGTTGCTGAACCGCCGCCTGGATCGCATCATTCCTCTGTTGCAGAATTAGGTTACCAGGCGAGGACAACCCGGCAGTATCCGGAGCTCCATTTCTCTCCATCCCAGTCTACGGAGATGAGCGTGATGATCGCGAACCGGATACTTTTTGTGGCGGCGCATCTCAAAAACGTCCATGGCGTCTGATATCGGAGCTACGACGGGCCGAGATAAGCCCGGTACGCCGGGCTTGTCTTGTTTGGTTTGGAGACAAGTTACCTGTGAAGACCTATCTATGGATAGGTCCTGTTGTTTGGCTCTTTACTTTTGGGAGATCTGCGTAGCATTACCTCAGACATGCCTACGCACCCCCGCTTAGGGGGAAAGATTATACTGCTCAGCCTCCACCGGTGACTTATTCACACGCAACTAATCCTTTGAAAATGATGAGCTCCGCGAGCCTCGCCAAGGAGCGCGTCGGCTCGGAGATAGCGGGATTAGTGGCTTACATGCAAGTCTTTGCTTCAGGTTGATGGCAGTCAAAGTCGCCGCCTAAAGCCGACAGCGCAGCTCGTACTCATCCTCCGTGTAATAGTAGGCTTAAAGCTGGATTCGTCTCTTTCTGATTCATTTCTGATTCGTTTGTTGTCCCTGTGACCATCTGCCTGCTGAGCTGTTCCCAGGTTGGGTTGCATAGATAAAGAGAAATCAAGTGCCCGGCATTGCGCATAAGTAGGCTTGCTAGCAAATGCGCTCATTCTTGCGACGCTTATTTGGCTTTCGCCAGCATCAAAGCCACAATCCCTCAACACCCTCAATTAAGCGAAATATGAGTTCATCCACCGCGGCAATTCTCTATGCTATCACTATCACCACGCCTGCCGCTTCACCTTTGCCAGATGATGCGCAGAAAAAAAGCCATCACCTTCAAGGCGGATTCACGAACCCATGGGAGTAAGACTAGTTGTCAGAAAACATGGTGTAAGCGGTGCTTAAGTACTGACCATCCTGCATAGTTCATGGAAACCGATCAAAGCAACCATTGCCTATGATATCCTTTCGTGAGTGGTCTCGGAACAGTTCTATTATCGACCAGATCTGACCATTTCTTCTCGCATGTAAAGTCGCCAGGTAACTGGGAAAGCCAACCGGCCTGACACTACGCCTCCGACTGTTCCAGTCCGTAAACCAGAATTTCTGCCCAGCCGGGAGACGTCGAAGCTGAGGACGACATGGCTGGGCCATGCCTGCTACTATGTCGAGTTTCCCGACGGGCTGCGAGTGTTGTTTGATCCTGTCTTTGAGGACCGTTGCTCGCCTTTCTCCTGGCTTGGACCGAAACGGTACACGGAGGTGCCGTGCCAGATCAAAGACATCCCTTTCATCGACGCAGTTGTTATTTCCCACAACCATTACGACCATCTGTCACACCCGACAGTGAAAGAGATCGCCAAACTGCATCCGAATTGCCATTTCTTTGCGCCTCTGGGTAACAAAGAGTGGTTTTCAAGGTCGGGAATTAAGAATATGACTGAGATGGACTGGTGGGAAGAGCGGGATGTCGTCCTTTCGCCTTCAAAGTCAGACACTACGGTTGAAGAAGCAACAGGCGATCTCGCATCGAAGCCTGCGGATATCAAAGCGCGTATCGGCTGCCTACCATGCCAGCATACCAGTGCCAGAGGGCTCCTTGATCGAGAGAAAACATTGTGGTCGTCATGGTACGTCGAATCTGGAGGTCGCAAGGTTTACTTCGCTGGGTATGTCACGGGTCCCTAGTACACCTCTTCATCTAATTCAAGCTAACTGGACATTGTGCTCAGAGATACTGGATACCGTGCGGTACCTGAACTTCCGGATGGCGTGGACGATCACGCCCCCGAGTATGATTACCCTTCGTGCCCCGCGTTCAAGCAGGTCGGCGAATTCAGAGGACCTTTTGACCTAGGTCTGATCCCCATCGGAGCGTACGCGCCACGATTTATCATGAGTCCGATGCATGCAGACCCTCATGATGCTGTGGAAATATTCAGAGATACAAAGTGTAGACGAGCAACCGCCATGCATTGGGGCACGTGGGTGCTTACTGAGGAGGACGTCCTCGAACCTGCGAGGAAATTAAAGGAGGCATTGAAGAAGCATTCAATTCCTGAAGAGGGAGTGTTCGATGTTTGTGACATTGGCGAAAGCAGGGAGTATTGATCGACTGACAGGAACCATCTTTGGACATATAGTCTTTATAAAGTTGCTGGACTGATGCATGATGTAATTTGGAGTCCTGTGGATATGATATTGGACATTATCAGACACTGTCACATAATTTAATGTATTTAGTCATGTGAGATTCTTGGGCACTTGAAGATGGAAACCTGATTCTTAGAAACTTGCTGTATCCTGCAGGATGGTCATCAATCTTGCTGCAGGGAGTAGCGGTGTCGTCGAATCTGACCTATATATGCAATTACCGCTAAATCCTACTTGAACTATGCATTCTCAAATGCAAGTTAAAAATGTTATATCAATGCTAGCTTATAGACATTTGATCCTTTCCTACACAGAAAAATATCATTGATAAGCTACAATATGATATAAAGATGAGTGAATCTATAACTTAACCTATTTCTGGTTGATGTACTGTGATTGATCTCCTTCTCCTTCTCTATTCAATGGTAAGCTCCGAGGAACACAAAGGTAATAGTGAATAGAAATGTATATTGATCCTCATACAGAATGATTACTTCACTGCGCCTGATGCGTGAGGATATTCCTAGGGACTATAAAACACCCCAGCACACAACTTCATCTGGGATCACTTAACAGCTCAACACATTCGAAGCATACTCTGCATCTTCGCACATCATCTTTCCCAGTCATAAAGCATACCTATACCTCGTTCTCATCATGCCAATCTACATCCCTCTAACTCCTCCCAGGCTCCAACCCGAGTTCAACCACAACTACAACTACGGCTACAACACAATGCAGTGGAGAAGCCCGGGACAGACACCACGAGTCGCTGCTTACGACACCGAGGACGAGGAAGAAGTTGTTTACGATCTTGATGAACACGCCATGGCCTGCCTACCACATCACCTGCAGCAGGTAATGCGAGAGCTTCACATGGAGCGCCTGGAACGTCTGCAGCGCGAGAACCCTTACTTCAAATTCCGCAGCCCAGTGCCTTACAATCGCAACAGATATGCTTCTGCATGGCTCGATAGCGTGGCCTCGCAACTCGCGGAGAGGCGGTTAGCGCACAGAGCAGGATATCACCAAATTGGAGAGACACCAAATGTACTTTCTCAACAGATGGGCTGCGGTGAAAGCCAAAGACGAGCTACGGCAGAACCTCAACATACACTCGGCGATACAGTCAACCAGGCACAAATCGCGTCCAGAACTCCGGAATCAGGCCTCACCTATCATCAGGAGGAGATCATTGCAGATGCAGGTGTCGAAACGGAGCGCAACTCATCTCCGATCCAAGAGTACTTCGCGGAGCGGGATGATAAGAGTCGAACTCACATCAGATATGCGACTTGGTACGGAGGTCAGCCCTTGGGAGAAAGGTCGGGCAGTCCCGAGTTTCGCAGGAGACGGTCACCAGTCATCTTGGAAATGCGAAGTCGACTTCAGAAGAAGATTGGCAGGATGAGCAGATTCTTCAAGAGATATTCCGTTGCCTGATCAGATTGCCGCACACATTCGATACCCACGACTGTGCTGAGCTATCTTTTTTGCATACTAGTCAGTATTAGAAACATGGCAATAATGATACCCGGTGTTGTTGATATCGGAGAAATTGGCCGAAACTCGGTGCTTAGGTCGTTATTTGGCGGGGCGTTGATAATCATGTTATAGGCATATTGACTATGTCTCCCGGGAATCCTAGAGATTTGGAGGATCAGTGTTCTAATTGGCATTGTTTCAGAGATTGTCACCTAGAAAATAATCCAGTCTTCTGTTCAATTCTACAAGATCAATCGATGATTTGGTTGATAGCTCAGGGGAAACTGCTGACGAACTAAGCCCAAAGTAGATTAGGGGGCGGTGAGCTTCAATCCCACTTCGCGGTGCGCTGGAAATTTATGGTCGTGCGGGCACAACTCCACGTCTTCAAGCTCAGCAGGCCCATCGTTCGGCTGTTTTTAAACCGTGTTTGGGACAGTGATATTTGTCGCTCTATTGAACTCCATTACTTGAAGCGTCTCGCCGAAGTAGCCCGAAAACACCGCTAAGATGCAGGCCCCAGTGGTGGTGATGAGTATGTTATTCTATCCCGTCTACCCTCACGCTCCTTTCAGACCGCTAAGCGTGCATTTTAGACACCAATGCTGGTGACAGGCAGGTCGGCCGTAAAGCACAGCTTTCAAATATTACCGCTGCGAAGACGTACGTGTGACATTCGACCCGATATACCCACTCCGATGCTAATAAGGACCCTATGTAGCGTTGCGGACATTATCCGGTCATGTCTTGGACCCAAGGCCATGTTAAAGATGCTCCTGGATCCCATGGGAGGTATCGTTCTGACGAACGATGGACATGCTATTCTGAGAGAGATCGAGGTGTCGCATCCCGCAGCCAAGAGCATGATTGAGCTCAGTCGCACTCAGGACGAGGAAGTGGGAGACGGAACAACAACCGTCATCATCCTAGGTATTCTCTATTGTCAGTCATTCACTTGAAATTGTGACTGACATTCTTCAGCTGGTGAAATGCTTGCCCAGGCCCTTCCTCAGCTCGAACGCAACATCCACCCCGTCGTTATCATTCAGGCTTTTAAGCGTGCTCTTGCCGACGCTCTTGCTATCGTGGAGGAAGTCTCGCTACCCGTGGATATTGACGATGATAAGGCGATGTACACGTTGATCCAGTCGTCCATCGGGACCAAGTTCGTCTCCCGGTGGTCGGAACTGATGTGCAACCTTGCGTTGAAGGCGGTTCGGACTGTTTCTTTCGATGCTGGTGGTGGAAAGCGGGAAGTCGACATCAAACGTTATGCTCGTATTGAGAAGATTCCTGGTGGACAGATTGAAGACAGCGAGGTTATTGACGGTGTGATGATCAACAAGGACATTACACACCCTAAGATGCGGAGAAGGATAGAGAATCCTCGAATCATCCTGCTCGATTGCCCACTGGAATACAAGAAGGGAGAGTCTCAGACAAACATTGAGATCAGCAAGGAGGATGACTGGAACCGCATTCTTCAGATTGAGGAAGAACAAGTGAAGCACATGTGTGATGCTATCCTGGCCCTGAAGCCTGATGTTGTTTTCACCGAAAAGGGTGTTTCAGGTAAGGCTGTCACTACCGCCCTACTACGACTGATGTCCCGACTGACTGACAGTTCTGCTCAGATCTTGCCCAGCACTTCCTGATGAAGGCGAATGTAACAGCGATTCGCCGTGTAAGAAAGACCGATAACAACCGTATTGCGAGAGCCACCGGTGCCACAATTGTCAACCGTGTCGATGACCTGCAGGAGTCCGACGTGGGAACGAGATGCGGGCTTTTCGAGATCGAAAAGATTGGTGACGAATACTTCACGTTCCTTCGGAAATGCCAAGACCCCAAGGCCTGCACGATCTTGCTGCGTGGTCCCTCCAAGGACATCTTGAACGAGATCGAACGAAACCTGCAGGATGCTATGTCCGTTGCCAGAAACGTCATCTTCCACCCGCGGCTGTGCCCTGGCGGTGGTGCGATCGAGATGGCGGTGTCGGTCAAATTGAGTCAACTCGCAAAGTCCATCGAAGGCGTTCAACAATGGCCCTACAAGGCTGTGGCGGATGCTATGGAGGTTATTCCCCGGACATTAGCACAGAACGCCGGTGCCAGCCCCATCCGTGTCCTCACACGCTTGAGAGCTAAGCATGTCGAGGGTCAGCACACCTGGGGTCTGGATGGTGACTCGGGTAACCTCGTCGATATGAAGGAGTATGGCGTCTGGGAACCCGAAGCGGTCAAACTCCAGAGCATCAAGACGGCAGTTGAGGTACGCCCTAGAAAAGTCCCCATTTGAAAGTGTATCAAACTAACGCTCCATAGTCTGCCTGCCTTCTGCTCCGCGTTGACGACATCTGCAGTGGTAAGTCTGCACAGCAGGCAGGTGGTGCTCACATGCCCGGTGGAGATGATTAGGAAACCCGATTCTTCGAATAAAAATGCGTACATAATGCTACACGATTTAACTCTGAAACTGTACGAATATCCTTCTAGACTAAAATTACATGGGTATCTTCATAGTGCGCACCACCTGGTATGGATCGTTTCTCGGCGAAGGTTGGTCAATCCAGCTAGCCTCGTAGGCTTAATCCTCATGAATGATCACTCCTGGTGTTTCAATAGACTGATCAGCCCCATCCACGAGCATCGCCTGATCCTCCTTGTCGCCTTGACCATTCTCCGTACGCCTTAATGCCTGTTCAACCGCCATCCTATTAGGCCCTTTGTTGGCGACCGCAGCATCCTGGTCTTTGTTATTGTTATAATTGTTGTTGTTGCTCTTCTTCTTCGCAGCATTCCTCTTCTCTCTTCTCCTCCGATTCTTCTCCGTTTTCTCCTCATCCTTCCGCCTAGCTTCTTCTCTCTTTTGTTCCCAAGCTTTATCCTCCTTCTCTTTCTCGACCTCACTCTGCATCAAGCGCAGACGCTCGTATTCCCTCCTGCGACTCGCCTTGTAGACGTGGAATTCCCCGGAGCCCGCACCCGCCGAAGAACCTTGGACATTTGCAACAATCTCTGGCGGGGGAGCAAGTGAATCTGCGGTTCGTTGCTTCGACGGTTCGGGGATTTTTATTTCTTTATTGGGGTCGCGGAAGAGATGCTCGATTTGCGTTGCTTGCTCGCTGAGCGGGGTGACTGCGCGACGTTTGACGGGTCTCTTGCTGCGCGGATCTGCGCTTGTAGGGATGGACTCGGGGCCTGGCTCTGACATGGCTGAATGGTAAACTGCGATAGGATCCAAGCAAGGGTGTGGTTTTGGTGGTGATGAGCTGGAGGTCGTCGTGTAGGCTAGTCCGGTCGATTTCTGACGTAAGGTGTCGGTGTTGGAACTTTTGCGCGAAAAATGACGTTCAGGTTCTGGAAGCAAAACTCAATTGTTCGCAGAGACAGCCAAGGAATATCTTTGTATTTCAAAGTGATCGAGACCAGGCGACTATCTAAGTTGAGGAAGAAGTCGTCAATCGACTTGC